ATATATATATATATATATATATATATATATATATATATATATATCCGAAAGATATAGCCATAACTTGAGATATACGGTTAAAGTATTTAAATATATATTTGGACGACCCATATTTTTCTCAGTGTCTGTACTCATTAACATCTTATTTTTCTCTATCGTTATTTGTTATTTGCAATTGATATGATTCAATGTCAATTAACATCAAATAGAGAAAATTTGTTTTCAGATCATTCTCTTTGATTAAAAATTCACGTACATATATTAATACTAAATTAAACAAGAATTATACGAAGCGTACGTATCAAATACATGTATCATTGACTGAAATTTAAACGCATCAATGTCGATTAATATGCTAATTATGTCTAGATAAATCTATTTCTCTCAAGTTTCATGACCGTAGCTTTTCCAAATTTCTCGTAGACTATATCTATATATGTAGACTAGACTCTAGCCCTTGCTACTAGAGTAAATCTATATTTCTTTAGTCCTATTTTGTCCTACGCTCTAATAATAATTCAGTTCCTCAATAACGATCATTTTTAATCTTACTAACGATTAGAATTTATAGCCTTACTCCTTTAAAGACCAAGATTCTTAAATACACAGCTTTTAAATAAAATAATGAAATGTTTTCACATCGCCACAATAAAATCATTGCCTTTTTCTTGTTTTATAACTTTTACAGTCGCAGAATCTAAAACACAGTCTTTCGAAACAAGCGTGTGTATACTTCTTTTCTGCAATATAAAGTCACGATACAAAACTTTCTTGAGACGTAAAAACGTCTGCGTCTACGAGGTATAATTTGACTTAACAAATAGTAAAAATAAATTAGCGCGATATCAATTATCTTATTACTGGCATAAGTACGTACGGCCATTGTATCTCGTTAGCGATTAATACTACAAAACGATAAAATATACTCCTTATTACCAAAATTAGTCTACCTACAAAACTATTTATATAATTAATTACATATAGCCTCGAATTAACGATAATTAGGCAAAACTGAAATTCCTAATATTTCTATATATCGTCAAAAGAGAATAAAATATATTTGGCCATGTAAATTTCATGAAGAGAGTATGTGACAGATGTCTATGTATGCATTATGTTAGAGAAACGATGCAGCCTACTGTACGGGAAAGGCACGATGCAGACAAATTGCCAAAACTGTATGTTAGTTATTGAATTATAAAAATATATACCCTGTTCAGTGGATAAGAAAAAATATTAAAACTTATGTTCACATATAAAGCTGTCGTATTGTAAATTTAACTTCGTTAGTACCAATGTGCAATCAAAATTACAATTGGTACATTCTCAAAATAATTCTGAAGTGACGTTTTTTCTAGAAGATTTCGTCATTTGTAAAAGAAACGATTTCCTGAAATTTTATCGTCTTAGGACAAACAGTACTGATAGCGTTCTATGTTACGATATGTTAAAACATTTTAGATTTAAATAACAATATTAGCGGTACACATATTGTGTAGTTCAAAAATAAAAAAAATATTCTATTTATCTAGCATATTTGACGTCGGCTTGTAATATGGATATATGCATTATGAGGGCACTATACGCTCGTCTTTGACACCTAGACATCGTATAATGTTTGTCAATGCTGAACAGAAAGAATTACGTAAAGTCCAATTTTTCCCGAACAAATTTTCTATTTGATTGTGATGAATTTCGCAAAAAAATTCCTAAGAAGCTAACTGCAATATTCCGTATCAATTCACCGTTTTCCGTAACGAAATCCAAAAAATGTATAAAAATTATTACAACAATATGATCGTTAAATGTAGTTGCAAAGAAGTATAGAAATTGTTTGTGTATGTGAAAGACATATGAGAGAGTTATTCATTTCAAATTTTTTTCACCAACAAGCGAATAGGAAATCTCTCTCTACTTCTTGATGTTTCCGTCGTGCTACTCTGTGTCGCTTGAGAATGTAACAGCATCTTACACAATTTGTCAACCTCCTCGTCGCTCGAGCTAAATCTATATAAATGCCTTTCGCTAGAAGAACTCTGAGAGTCATCACAGTTCTCAATATCAAACCTTAATCGCGACTCCATGTGAACGGGACTGGATGCTCGGGTGGTGGGTGCGGTTCTGCTACGAGGTCCAACATTTCTCAAGGGAATCTTGCTAAGGCCTTGATTGTGGTTCACATCCAGCGTTGAGAAATACCCTCTTATGGTCCGTCGAGCTGTCGTGTAATCTTCCAGACTGTGGCGCTTCACGCTCTGCTTCATCTCTTTAGAATCGGGAAGCTTCAGATTCGTGAAATTCGTGGAATGACGCTTGGTTCGATCCAACGTGCACTTGGAATTGGTGATCTTCAATTTGTCCTTCTCGAGTATCAGAGAACTGCGTTTCAACTTCTCGTCGATGGACCTCTCTTGATTAGCGTCGAAACCGAATCTTGTTCTTCCGTGCGGGGCGGAATATCTTTTGGTTCTCGCGTCGATTTTCGACAATTGCTGATCACTCAGATTTTCCTTCGCTATATTACGCTGCAGACCATCCTCGTAATCTATTGACGTCGGTGTGTTCCTCAACGGATCACTTTCACTCGTTCTGCGCTTCATGCAGTCTTCATACTCGACAGACGAGTGTCTTTTGAACTTGCCTTTGTCAAAGTTCACACCGCTCCGTTGCCGAATCATGATGTTCGATCGTCTCCGTCCAGAGATAAAATCTTGCAAATGCGGTATCTTGGATGTGCTTTGAGATGAGGAGAATTGTGCGGGTATCCTGATACCAGTGTCCACCAAGAATTCGTCGTCGGACTGCATCATAGGTATCTCCGGCATGGAGCTGAAAGCCCAACAAGAATTGTAATGCGCTGCGTTAGTTAGTGCTCGCAGAGCGGCAAAGTTCGGCGCCCTGTCTTTGCCACTAATATTAGAAGGAAATTCATGCGAATAATCCCGTGTTAATGAGAAATTTTGTTGCAGCTCTTGTTTATTTTCTCTCATGAGTGAAAGGAGGACAGATTTGGCGATGGCGGGAGAGTTAGATTCGTTCGCTTGCATTGACTGTTTCCAAAGCTTTGTTTGATCGTCGATGTCATCGATATCATGATAACATCGGCATTGGGAAGCGTCACTTTTGTATTCTTGCTCGCATGCATCCGGCATTGTCAGGAGGGCTTGGAATACTGCCAACTTAGAGCAGCTACATTGTGGTTTTTGCGTGATGTAATCATTAGACGATTCTCCATTCTCAAATTTAAGATACGATGTATTAGTATTTGAGTTGAAATGTGCTACTCTTTCCCAAGAATGTGTTAGTTGAGTTCTGTTAGATAGAAAGCGAACATAAATCAGAGTTTTGCTGGAGTTAATAAAAAGAGGTAAGATCCCTTTTCGATTTGCTAATGCTTGCTTACCTTGTTTTCAAACTGTCGACTGTCTGTCGCGAAGATGTTGCTCCATCTGCAAGATATTATTACATCAGTTAAGACAATTAAGAGAGAAATATGTTTACTTATTTATTAATATATTTTATTTCTTCTTTACGTATTTAAATAACATTACTTAAAATTCATCTAAAAACTCGTTCTCCACAATCGTTAACATAAATTAAAGTTAGTACTTTGAGGAATAATTGGCTTGCAACGGGTGACAGAGGAGATTTACTTGAACATGGATTTCCGCTTGTCAAATTCTGTGTTATCATTAAATTATATATATATATATATATATATATATATATATATATATATTGCTTACATTTCATTGATAATTTTATTTCACATGATGCCTCATTAATCTCTGTTGAATGCTCACCTTTGGATTGCGATCTGAAACATGAAATGCATTAATTCAATACATGTAATAATATAACTATAAATGAACTTGCAAACAGGTAATATTCTACTATTCTTTATAAATTGTTATATACAGTTGAAATTGCACTTACATTCCTCTTGTTACACTTTCAGTACCAGTTTTTATCCAGCCACCTGAAGGAATAATATTGTTCAAATTTTTAATAAATGTTTTATTTCAAAATTTTTATTGTTTTTAGGAATTCAAAAATATTAGTAAATTATAATACACTGTAATATAATACCTTTTTTAACTATTGTTCCAGTTGTTGGTTTCCCTGTACCAATGCCTGACAATTTCTTTTCTTCTTCCAATCTTTTAGCATCTTCTAAATCTTGTTTAGTAAGTTTTGTTGTGAACTATATGAAAAGGAAGAGAATGGCCTTTATCCTGAATTTTTTTTATTGATAAAAATGTATTTAAATATGACTCGTAAGTCTGTGGCTTATAAGCATATAAGGTACTTTTATTAAGAAAGTCCAAAATAACTAATGTATTATATATACACACATGTATAAATAGACTTACAGTTTGGCCTTCATATTTGACATCCATTTCCTCTAGTTTCTGCGTGACGTTTTTTAAGATAAATAACACATCTCTATCTTTTTCATTGTTATTCAAGTGCCTGACAACCGATTCTAACGACGTCAGCAATTTCTTATCAGTTGGTATCCACAACTGATTTTTTAGTTGTGGAAGGAAAGATACCACTTTCATTCTTATGTTAGCTACTGGATCCTCAGCCAGAGTTAATAAAACATTGAAAAAATGTTCCTTAAAATAAGAGGAGGAAAATATTTCCAGTGCTTCGACCATCATGCGAACAAACATCATTCTCACATAGCAATCAGGATTATTGGCTAAATCTGTGAAGATTCTACTACGCAGTTCAGCTCTCTGTATTGGCTTTGTATTGTATCGTAGAAGAAAAAGAAACAGTACTCCCGCAGCAAGACGTACCGGTATAGGTCTCTGAAATTTTCGGATTGACGATTCGTATAAATATTTTATAATTACCAGGAGCTTTAAACACACGAAGTATTATATAGACTTACCGCGTGTAAAATTCTGGAGAAAGCCATTGGCACAAAATATGAGTATATAAAATCACTGGGAAAACATTTGGGTAAAATCTCGAGTTGCGCATGCATTAAAGATGCCAGTCTCCAGTTGTGCGTACCCGAAACTTCAGCCTCACATTTTAATAAAGCTTTACCTATTTCCAAAAGAGTAGAATCCTATAACGGATAATACAAGACCTTGAAAATCATTATTTCATACCGGAAGTTGCATAATAAAATTTATTTACCATTTTATCTGTTCCAATAGTTTGACTTTCGACTAAGTATTCCAGCGTTAATCCTATGTGAGGAATTAAACCTTGAAGTACTTCTTCAGAATCTTTCAATAATTTTATTAAATTCCCTTTTAACCGTGCACTTTTCGGCCCTAAAATTTTCACCACCTAAAAATTATCGCTTTATTATATATACAATGTTATAAGCTTATAAAGTATAATATATACTTGTACTCTTACTTCGTGAAGTCCACAGGCAACGGTCCTACGAACCATATAGTAATGATCATTTGTTAATAAATTAAACGTCGAAAGTAATGAATCTACGTCTTCTGATGAATTCGATACAAAGATAAACATCGCAGGCAAATTAAATGCACAGTGTCTTCTACATTCCACATATCTCTCATCTTCCATAGGATTACTGCTCATCTAAAAATTTACAATATTATAAGATTTATCAAGGTTAAAATATAACATATCGTATTTTTGAAATCAGTTTATACAACCAAAATAAATTAAATGAGCAAGTTAATATTTAAATACTCACAAATGTAAAGTGTGACTTCTCTTTCTTTGATGATGGTATTCCCATTTGTGCAAGTTGCTGATAGTATTTCAAGAACCATGTCTTCTCTGATATTGACAAGCACTCTAAAATCATATTTAATAATATATATTATCAATTTTATCTGAATATTGTTATTTAGACACGTATTGCCAAAAGAAACGCAAGAATAATTTCTTACTTTCTAGGCCAAGTACAAGTTTTCCGAACTCCTGAGCTATCATACATATCACATTATCTTCCGATTTACTTGCACTTTCACATAGCTTTTTAACAAGTGGTGCTATTATAGTTTTTATTGTATCTGTAAATAAATCGGGAAGTATTAGCTTTTTATTATTTCTTATGCCAATATACTGTTCTCTAGGAAACTCACCTTCCTGAAGTTGAGGTAGTAAATACACTATTGTCTGTACAGAGGCATATCTTACATTGCTTTCTTCATCGCTTGCTAATTCTACAAGAGATGGTAGTAAAGCGGGTTTTACAGACTCAGCACCGAGGCTCTCCGCGACGAAACGTAGCTGCAAGCAAATACTAGCTCGTACTTCACTACTAACATCCTGACAAAGGGAGTGCACTGTTGGTAGAACTTCTTTCTGTATCCTAATAACAATTTTAACAATGGCACATTTATTTACCAAATAAAACAAACAATAAGTTATGAATTTATTATAATTTCTAGTTAATACTTTTTTATGTCACAATAACATATTAATGTGCAAAATGGATTATCATGTATAAATAAGTTAAAACACTTGTATAATCACATATATATTAAGATATTTGGACGTTACTTGGTATAAAATAATTTTAAATATGTTATTTCTCTTTTATTTATAGAGAGAAAAAGAGAGAGGAATTTTATCTCATTCTGCCTCTTTTGCTAAGATTATAAAAACTAAATACACACAAATACACTCACATAGTAGAATCAAATCGTGTGCAAATTTTCCCTAATAATCTGCTGCATGTTATCCTGGAGTAGATAGGTTGTGACAGTTGTCCTTTACTTATAGTCAATGGAAGAATCTGTATAACAATATTTTCATTATTATTCATCCAAGAGTATTATTATATTATATTTACATAACTATATAATATTTCAAACATTTATTTATAACATGAATGATATAAATTTGAGTAATACAATATGAGGTACTAATTTATTATTAATTTATTTGAATAATACAATATAAGATATTAATTTCTGGCCTTGCACATTTACTAACCTGTGCTCTTATGATTTCTACCGGCAGTAACTCTATCACATCCAGTAAGGTCTCCAACCATGCGTGACAGACAACTTGAAGAAAAAATGAGAGTTAAAATGACACATAAGCAACACAGAAAGATATTTCCTTCTTAATTATGGACAAATATTACAACTGATAATTAAATATATTCACCTGGGTCACGACTTTCCAGAGAATTTAATATACTTTGAAGGAATGTTTGACTGAAAACATTATGGCTGACAAGCTTCTGCTCTAAAATTGTTTTGAATGTGGATGATGCTGCTATGTGAAATTCGGTTGATGCAGTAGCCAAAGACTGCTGCATCTTAGGTACCACTCGAGACATACATGATTGCGTATCAGTAGCTAAAAGACTTGGTAGACTTTGTATAACACTAAGCTTTTGAATTTCATCCCCCTTCCTGAAAAAGTTCATTTTCAATGTTGTATTTTCTTTTACATTGTTGAGATAAATTGTAGAAATACATTTTGGCATCGACAGTAGAAAGATATAGATGAGTGAGTGGGAAAATATAGCAATCATAGAGAACTTGCTTATAACAAGTCCTCGATGAAGGATCTGACAATTATTATTCAAGAAGCTTATAAAATACGTATTTATAACTTTCTATAATCAGTCAGCTTAAAAATATGCATATCAGTTACAGAACGGTTGGTTAACCTAAATTTCGAGTTTCACAAACTTCCTACAGTCTTGACATCGCTTGCGCACCACTCTCGTCACGAGAGGAATATCATTCCGTCTTTAAAGGACTATAATTAGCGCGCTTAAGGACAAGAACAGTGTGCTCCTTGAACGACATGTTATTTTTAGGAAGACACAGAAGAAATGAGGGGTCGGAAGGCTGAGAAAATTCGACCCTATCGAGAGGGACGAGTCGACTCGATGCAAAGTTTATACTTCACATTTTTATACCACGCATGCAACTACTTACGAATCGAGAACGATCTCGTATGGGACTTCATCTCCCTCGTGCAGCATTTTCAAGGCGCATCTTATTCATCGATGTTGCAGTAAACACGGAGGGATTGCTAATCGATCGGTGAGCCCCTACGCGAATGGCACTCACGTACGCGCGCTCATGACGCGTTTTTCGCGCGGGAGAGAATGGCAACACAACACCGCGAGAACGCACTCGAACGCACTGAATGACAACTGAAGCAGGTTCCGATTTCCACGCTATCGATTCTGTCCGACTCGACGTCGAGACGCACGAACGCATCCGACCCGTGCCGAACTGTCACGAGCGCGGCCCACATATTGGGTGGTGAAAAGGTGTGTGACGCACCGCGTGCCCGGCGCGGCGCGCATTACGCGTCGAGGGCGCTGCGTTGCGTAACGCAAATGCGACATAGGAATGATTTAGCGCTCGCGTCATCCTGGTAATTCGATGCGCTGGCGGGCAAACACGCGACGGAGATTGGACGCACGATTCGACTTTACAAATGTTTTCGGAAAAACGTAATGGATAATATGGCCGAATTAACATTACGACATATTAACAGTCGCGCACATTGCAGTATTCAAGAATTATCGAATCGAGCGTTGGACGAGAACTCGAGAATTTGCATGAATTCGATTCATCTCAATTTGTGATAAAAGAAAAAGTACAGAATAATTTATGAAATCTAAATAGTACTCATACTACAGTACTTGTAAAAATTCTAAATGAAGGTCTCGTTTGCTTCTCGTAGGATTTACGGAGAGTTAATGATCGACATGTAAGTCGCCAGTTGTCGTATAATCATCAGAGAATATCTGCTACTTTGAAATTGTATACAGATTTAATTAATGCAGCGTCGACCTTGATTCGGTAATCGAAGGCAAATTACGTATTTCCGATCAAGGTTTAACAAGTCGACTCCTCGACGTAATGTATACAGACTTGTTCTCGCGCGTATATAAGCAAGAGAATAAAATTTTATGAAAAATTCAGTTTTGCACATATAGTTTATATCGATCATATAAATTTTCAAACGATCAGAAGGATAGATCTTTTCGAAGCAACGAAGGAAGGATCTTTTATATATATAGAAACAAAAATTAACAAGAGATTCATAATTTTGTAATCGTATTAGAAGATAACAAATATATTATTTATACTTACGAGAGAATATGAAGCGCCCTATCTATAGGTTTTCTTTCTAAGCCAGCATCCAAGGAGTGTTTTCGTAACTGCTCTTCATTCTGGGATAATAATACCTCAATGAAGTCTCGCCGAAGCATGAAATGAAACTACGCAAATGCTTGTCGAGGTTAATAGACGAAAAATTACTTCTCGAGTACTGACAGTAACAGAAATGGTTTTTAACCAGATTCATACTATAAATGGAAGTGAATGTTGAAAGTATCAGTAAATATTACGTACTCTTATATCAGGTAATGGTTTATCTAACTGAAGACTCGCAAATTCTTCGAGATCCATTTTCGTTTATAATTTTATGTAACCTTATTACTGTCATTCTTGTTGAGAACAAATGATGCATTCACATTAAACATTTGGTGCGCGAACTCTTGAACTGGTTAGTACACGTGATATTACCAAAATTTAAAAATTACAAATCAATCAGATTCAGAAAAACTTATTGACTACTATGATACCAGATAAATGTATTAAACATAATTTATTTATTTATTCCAACAATCAATAAATAACGTTAAAATTAAGATGAGAAAATCATGCCGAGAGATAAATTAAAAAGGTAGGTTACATGTTGCGTTAATTTGACAGTAATTTATTGATTGTTAGAGTAAAAAAAAGGGTTTGGACTGTTATACAGATGTGCTCGATTAACTGTGTTACTTTATGAATATATTTTTTTATTTTAATATTTTGCAAGAATTTTTATTATGTATTTTTACCACTTCCGACGTCATCAATCTAGAATTCCGTAGTAAGGAACTAGGAGTCTTAAAAATGGCAAAGCAACTATTTGTATTCAATTTTATTATCCAAACATTCTTCTTTAGAAAAAATATAAAAATATATCTATATATGTATATAATTCATATATAATTTATATATCTCTGTACATTTATATAATCTATATTTAATTTGCGTTTAATATAAACACATATAATGAATTTCAAATAGTTTTCTATAAATATTTTTACTTAGAGGCTACAATTTGTACTGACCTACTTTAATTACTAAATTACTAAGTTTGATGATATGAAGTTTCTAAAAGTGAATCAGCATGTCAACTATGTTGTTCTGATGTATTATCCCTACTTTCACTTTTTAAAAACAATAATATTCAAGTACAATTTCTTGAAACTTTTCTGATAAAGACTAGAACAAGTCAAATAGTAGAAAAAACTTATCGATAACTTGAACAACTTTATTCAACATCACGTTTTAAATACGTAGGTAATGAATCAGCAGCATATTCTCAATGCTTTCTATAAGTTTATTGTAATAAAATGTTATTTATTGCATAAACATATTATAAACAATATTTTATATACATGTTTGTTCTTTATAAATATAGTATTTAATATTAGAGTAGTGTGCATAATATTGTATGTATCACAAAACTAACCTTTATTATTGCTCTTCCTAGTCTATACTAACCCCATGTACAAAGAAAAAACTTATTTCATCAATTATAAAATATTTGAAAAAAGATATAACTAAGTATAGAGGATATCTCAGGAAAAAGAATAATAAGTTTATGATGTAAGAAAAAATTGTAGAAAGAAAAGTTGCTGCTGAGAATAGACATGAATTGAAGACAGATAATAATAGAGAGCAGAAAGAAACTAGTACAACAATAAGATTCGATTGTACCAAATTCTTGGTAAGTTCTCTCTCTACCTGACAATTAAATCATACTTTTTTTTCTTCAAATTGAACATCTTAAGGCCAGGATACTCATCCCAGAATTCTGGATTAATAACATCAGAACAAGAAAACTAATGTTCAAAATTCTTGTATGTTATTCCTAAATAAAAAGATATTTATGAAATAACACTTCTGATCGCTAAAGGCTAGTTCTTCTTGGATGTTCACAGTTGTAAAGTTCATTCTATAATGGTAGTAAGTAATAAAAAGGAGGAAATAAAAAATTAACCAATTACAATCGAATATGAGAAGAGTAGTCAAATATGATTGGTCAATTTCTTATGGAGGATTGACACTACGATGTTTGATGTATGACATCCGATATCCAATAAAAAATAACTTTCTAATGGAGATTTGAATTCTCTATTAGGAAGCTGTTCTTCTATTGAACGCCGAACGCAATGTGAATCCTCCATTACTCTTAAGCTAGCGCAGCACACATTTTCTGCGTTTAGCAGAGAAAGCTGTTTTACAACTGTTGCAAAATTCGTGAATCTGATTGGAATATACTCTTAATTTGGGTTGAATCCAAGAGTATGTACCAATCAGATTCACAAATTTTACAACAGTTGTAAAGCAACTTTCTCTGCTGAACACAGCCATTGCTTGTTTTTGTGTTGGAACCCGATTCTTGACAGTGTGCGAATGAGATATGCATGCGAAAATCTACAGTATACGTAACGTGAACTATACATTTTCGTATTCATATCTCATTCGCATTCCATCAAGAATCAAACCCCTGGGGTACTATTCCGTTCCCGCGTACCGACAGTTGTCAAATCGGTAGGTGTCGTTGCGCAGATTTTTTTATACCGTGGAAAACTGCGCAACGACGCCTACCGATCCGACAACTGTCGGAACCACGGTAACGGAATAGCAGCCCTTGTTTGCTTGTTGGACAGAAATACTCTGTTCTGATTGGTACATTTCTGAAAATGGGTGGAAATGCACTAATCAAAAAAACTATTTCCAGTGTTCATCATGGACTAAAGCCAGCAACACGCGATGATTGTTTTCGTGCTGGATTGCTTACTGGATGGAAATACTCTATTCTGATTGGTCCGTCTTTAGAAATGTACCAATCAGAATAGAGTATTTCCATTCAGCAAGCAATTTAGCATGAAAACAAGCATCGTGTGCTGCTGATTTTAGTCATGTTTAGTGTGCGAACTAGAGATGCCCGATTCTTAGGCCGGTATTCATAGTCCAATCTAATATTTAAGATCATTTTAAGTACTGTCTTAAGATGTCATAAACCAATCACAGAGCATCTTAAGACATTACTTAAGACGATCTTGAAATAAAATTCGACTATGAATACCGCCCTACATCGATTCAATTCTTTCCCTAACAAATTTAGGGAAAAAGAGTTGTTCGTGCTGCTTGCATGTTTCATATTTTTCGCTTTTAAAAAGAGATGGACACCTAATCAGACGCTTGGAAGAAACAATCGAGTTAGTTAACTTGCTTCTTCCAAACATTCCAATATACTTTTGTCTGGTTTTAAATACGAAAAATGCGAAGAATGCAAACAACACAAATAAGCCTATTTTTGGGGAAAGAATTGAATCGATTCAGAATCGGGCATCTCTAATATTTAGATTATCTAATAGAAGGTTACTATTTAGTACGCGTATCAAGTGCACGATGTAAACCAAACCATTATGGGCAGATCAACTTTCTCACTCTATTTTAAACTGCCAACTTTCCAACTGCTTCACTTTGCTGACATAATGGGCGCGTTCACAGACACAACAGGGCTGCGTTCAGATTCCACACCTGGGTGTATACTAGAAGTGCTATAGTATATGTAACATATACTATAGTGTTTCTAGTAATAGAGTGCACTCGGATGAAGAATCTGAACGCACCTCAGTTGTACAACTGTTGAGTGATTCGTAAACGTAATTGGTCTAAATATAGGGAACCAACAGAATAAACCAATAAACATCGAGTGCTCACTGAACGCTTTTATCTGCTGAACGCACCCAATGCTTGGTCTATATATATACGTCATTGTGCGAGCCCCATTAGTCCTGATCCACAATAGGGTGCGTTCAAATTCCCTACCCGGGTGCACTCTGTTACTAGAAACAGTATAGTATATGTCACATATACTATAGCACTTCTTGTATTAGAGTGCACCCGGGTAAGGAATCTGAACGCAGCCATAGGTGTAATAAGCTTTGAGCCTTAAGAAATTAACCAATTTGAGGAGAATAATCGATTGGTCAATTTCTTAAGGCTTAAAGCTTACTACACTTATGGCTCCTGCACACAGGACGCGGTATTGCTTGCCACGCGGTGGAAATTCGCGCGATAGCCAATCAATATGCTGCTTTCCGTAATAACCTTTTAACTCTTACAAAACAACATATTGATTGGCTGTCGCGCAGACTTCCGCCGCGCGGCAAGCATTACCGCGTCCGGTGTGCAGGAGCCATTAGGCTGCGTTCGGAAACGTCACTCGAGTACTCTCCCTCTCTTTTTATCTTGTATTTTGCTCACTCCAACGGCTATCGTCTAGTAGTGTGCACTCAGTGTGTGTTTTCGAACGCAGCCCTATTGTGGCTCGGGACATATTTTACGTAATATACATATATTACGTATAATGTAAAAAACCCTAGAATTTGTCAAATGTCCCAACTAGAGATGTCCGATTTTGAATCGATTCGATTCTTTCCCCAAAAATAGGCCCTTATTCGTGTTGTTTGCACTCTTCGTACTTTTCGTATTTAAAACTAGACAGAAGTATATTGGAATGTTTGGAAGAAGCAAAAGCGAGACAACCAATTCGATTGTTTCTTTCAAGCGTCTGATTAGGTGTCCATCTCTTTTTAAAAGCGAAAAGTTTGAAACATGCAAGCAGCACGAACAATCCTTTTTCTCTAAATTTGTTAGGGAAAGAATCGAATCGATTAAGAATCGGGCATCTCTAGTCCCAACCCTGCTCAACCTTGCTTAACTTTTGCATCCGCGCGAACAATACGCTTATGGGGCGTGTGTATGGACATAAACTTACACACAGAGGCAGAAGCTTCGGGCTCTCCCCGCAAGAAATCTCCAAAGTCAACTCAGGATTTGTCTACACTAGAGATGCCCGATTCTGAATCGATTCGATTCTTTCCCCAAAAATAGGCTTATTCGTGTTGTTTGTACTCTTCGCATTTTTCGTATTTAAAAATAGACAGAAGTATATTGGAATGTTTCGAAGAAACAAAAACGAGACAACCAACTCGATTGTTTCTTCTAAGCGTCTGATTAGGTGTCCATCTTTTTTTAAAAACGAAAAGTATGAAATATGCAAGCAGCACGAACAATCCTTTTTCCCTAAATTTGTTAGGGAAAGAATCAAATCGATTAAGAATCGGGCATCTCTAGTCTACACTCCTGTAAACTCTTACTACACCTATTGTAGATCGGGAATTACAAATAACGACATTGTAGACCAGGCCTAAAGACAAACTTCACGCTGCCTATGCTAGCAAATAAATATAACTAAATATTTATGTTATCGGCGAAGAAGAAATATTTGGATGGCAGCGTTTATCGCATTCTTAAGGACTTCTCAGGTTTCTCTTTCTGCTGAGCCATGAGATCATTCACACTTGCTCGACTCGCCTGGTTTTTTGTTCGTTCATCTGACTGCAAACGAACGACAAACGTACGATATCCGACAGTCTTCTTAGTTGAATACGTCGTTGAACACGTGTCCATCTTGCATGCAGATATATGAAACGGACAACCGGCTATCCAAGTAAGTTTAATAATAATAATGGTTAATAGTACATTGATTTGTGAAAAATATTATAAACACTGATTTCGTGGGAAATGTTAAATTATGCTTGCAATTGTTTGTATTTAATAGTATCCGTCTCCGACGCTGTATAAATTTGTCTTTAGTAATATTTACTACTGGTACTGTAAACGTGTTGACATCGTAATACGCTGACATAAACATTCTTTTTTTCACAAGTGTATTGTTGATCTATTGAATAGAGAGTACGGAACGTAGCTGTGTGTGTAAATATTGCAGTAGCTGACTATTCACGCAGTATCATACATAACCTAATTTTTACTGAAATTGGATATTGACTAAAAAGGACACTCAGACAGCACAATCTATTAAAAGATGTCTTAAAGACGCCTAAAAGATGTCCTTATTTTTTTTGGATGTCTTTTGGAGATATTTAAGATATCTTAGCAGTTTGTACTGTCTGTTTAGCAATGTGCTGAATGAACATAAATATTCTCGTGGAATGTCGAAAGCATGGGTGACTAGTCACCAAACAAAAAAAAGAACTTGGATATTATTTATAGCTAATATAGAAATAACAAAATATGAAAAAAAACTACAATTATCATCAATATTGCACGCGTTATCGTGCAGTCAAGTGCTTTTATGATTTTATTTTATGATCTGTTGTCTTCTGTAAAGTAATTTTTCCATGGATGCCGCCATGTGTCTATTGCGAATGCCTCGCTTGATGAGTCGCAACAATAAAAGTAGAAAGTGAAAAATAATCTGTATTATATAAACACAAAAACATTTTGAAAGTTTACTACTACGTATATCGGAACAGATTTGTAGTGCTGCCGATATTATCAGTGAATACCGAAATCAGTGAAATATATACTACTTGTAGCTCTATTCTGTAACTTGTTATTGGAATTAACGATAGTGGGTGCTTTCCAATTGCTTAACACATCTTGATACACGCGTACACAAAACCAGTTTATTGGTCACATATTGGGTGTTTCCGAAATACCCAGAGTTGGGTCGAGTTGAGTTAGTTCCACTATAGTATATGTAACGGATACTATAGTGGAACTAACTCAACCCAATCCAAACCTGGACATTTCGAAGCACCCTATATCTAAAATATTTTGTAAGATAATATGCAACCAATAAACTGGTTTTGTGCAACACAATGTACGCAACTGGAAAGCACCCAGTTTCGTTACCGTTGCGCAGCTTTTGTATACCGTAGAAAAGCTGCGCAACGATAACGAGTTACAGAATCCCAGCACTGGGTCTTTATTTTTAAAATAATTGCGTATACGTAAGTTTTACTGCGAATCATATCAACCATAAAATAGCTGTGCAATGAAAATTATACGCAAAAATTTCAGGAATATGGGCCCTGAAACGCGCGCTATTTCTTGAATGTGCGGGATGAAAGAGCATGTTTGTAGGTCTCGAACAGCGCTATCTTTAGGCGTTTTTTCGTTTCGTGACCACGGTAGCGTTTGGTTGGTTAGTTTGGTCACGAAACGAAAAAACGCCTTTTGTCTGGTACAGTCTGAACCGAAAGCTAAGTCGATTGATTTCTAAACATAAGCTAAATCTCCGAATTAGGAACCATCTTTGCTTTGTTTTTCTTAATAATAAGTCGATAAGTGAATACTTATAAATAATAAATGAGAAAAAATATATATATGAAAAAAAATATATTTTTTTTTATATCTTAAACTTTCGTTCATAAGCTTAAGCCATTCAATGGTTACTGTTTTTCATATTATCTCTAACTTTTAATTTGGATTTTATCAATTCTCTTCACTCTCGACTATACCATAAACCAGACAAGAATAAGGGCTGATTGTTCCAACCTTTTGATAAGTTACCTTATAGGTAAATCATGTGTTTATCTCTATCCAATTTGAAGAAAAAAACGAAGACAGACTTATGATTTAACTGTCAGGTAGCTTACTAAAAAATTGGAACAATCGCCCCTAAGAGAGGAAAGAAGAAACTTCTCTTTCATCCTATACGCCTCAAGAGGCAGCGCGCGTTCTAAGTAGTATATATTTCAGTGACCGAAACGTATTTTCCAACAAGGAACAATGGGCTGATTGTTCTCTTGTTAACTGGTTAATTATTCTAGTAGAATTGACCAGTCGCATTCCTCGTTAGAATTAACAGATTTGATTGGTCAAATCCGTTGGAACAACCAGACGGTTAAGTTAATCAAAATTGATATAAACGAACATTAATCGAAGGTCGAAGCACGGTGTTTTATACACCAAACTTTTAAAAAAGAAGAAAAAACGAATATTAGTCGACTAATTTCAAGCAAGATATACTCGGCACTGTATATATTTCGAGGCGTCAAATCGATATGATTAATGAATTCATTTTTTAAACCATTTGTAGTTCTGAACGAACTATTAAATGGCCCTCATTGCACATGGCCAAGCATAGGGGTATGTGATTGATAATTTGTATTAGACATCCAATTACATATGCGCATTCAAGCCCTTTAAAATCGAGGGCTATCTATTACTACATGGACGTGGGTCTGATACTACAACCGTTCATTGAACGCTTAGTGATCTCTTGTATCCGATTGGCATATTTCTTTAGATCTAGAGATGTACACCAATCACATGTAAGAGTTCACTGAGCGTTCAGTAAAGGGACGTCTACATTGGAAGTAAGTAGGAAGTAAGAGTAAGAAATTGACCAACCATAGTCGAATGTGAGAAGAATAATCAACTATGATTGGTCAATTTCTTATTCTTATTTCCTACTTCTTATTGCTTACTTCCAATGTAGACGTCCCTTAAGGCTGGCGTCCCATAGAACGGAAATTCTCATCGGAACGGAACGCGCATACCAATTGCAACCATTCTATTCGCGAAAAAAATAACAGGCGTAACAGGTGGTCTGTTCTTTTCAGCTGCACTGCTGAATTGATGCAATAAGTTAGAGTAAGAAAAAATATACTTGTCTCACTTTAATTTATTGCACCAGTTTAGCAGTGCAACTGAAAAGAACAGTGCTGGTATTCCGTGGAGCGTCCTGATTGACCACGGTACGATTGGACACAGCCAACCGATGAAAAGAATTATCTAGTGAATTATTAGGTCGAACCAATCATTACAATCTGTGTCCAATCGTATCGTGGTCAATCGGGTCCCACCCGTATTCCGTTACCGTGGTTCGACAGTTGTCGGATCGGTAAGCAGTATAAAAAAACTGCACAACAACGCCTACTGATTCAACAAATGTCGGTACGGGCCGTGGCACACAGAAAAACTTAAGCAGTAAAGGTGCCAATACATGGGAGCGTTTCAGCGTCGAGCGTTAAAGCGTTAGACAATCAACGTATCAGGTTCTAGAAGTATACTTGTAGTTCTTGCGGAAAGTGGCACGTTGATTTGCTACCGCTTTAACGCTCGATGTTCCCATGTAAAGGTACTTGTAAAGGTACTTAATGGTTCTTGCACACAGGACGCGGTAATGTTTGCCGCGCGGCGGAAGTTCGCGCAACAGCCAATCAATATGCTGCTTTCCGTAATAACCTTCTAGCTCTTACGGAAAAACAACATATTGATTGGCTGTCGCGTAGACTTCTGTCACGCGGCAAACATTACCGCGTCCTGTGTGCAGAAGCCATAAGACGTAAGCAGTAGAGATGCCTGATTTTTAATCAATTTGATTCTTTCTCTAACAAATTTAGGGAAAAAGGGTTGTTCGTGCTGCTTGCATGTTTTATACTTTTCGTTTTTAAAAAGAGATGGACGCCTAATTAGACACTTGGAAGAAACAATCGAGTTAGTTAGCTTTTGCTTCTTCCAAACATTCCAATATACTTTTGTCTGGTTTTAAATACGAAAAGTGCAAACAACACGAATAAGCCTATTTTTGGAGAAAGGATCGAATCGATTCAGAATCGGACATCTCTAGTAAGCAGTAAACAAATTGACCAGTCACAGTCGTTGATTCTTGGACCGTAAGAAGAATGACTGTGATTGGTCAATTTGTTTACTACTTACGTTTTACTACTTAAGGCTGATATTTCACGTGTCGTACAAGCTTTTTGGATACGTTCATTGGTTGACGAACAGAAAACCTAGAAATATTCGCCAACCAATAAACGTATCCGAAAAGCTTGTCGTGCGACATTTGAAATAGCACCCTAAGTTTTTCTATGTGCCATCAGCTTACGCGGGAACGGAATAGTAAAGACCATCACACACAAAATTCCGTAAGAACTTAAAACGTAAGCGTAAAGAAATCGACCAATCCCAATCGAGTATTCGGCTCTTCGTAATAATGGAGGGGTTACGAAGAGCCGAATACTCGATTGAGATTGGTCGATTTCCTTACGCTTACGATTTAAGTTTTTACGAAATTTTGTGTATGATGGCCTTCACCTAGACCATGTGATTGGTGCGCGCATTACGTTCCGATGAGAATTTCCGTTCCATGGGACGTCAGCCTAAAGGGACGTCTACATTGGAAGTAAATAGCAAGAAGTAGGAAGTAAGAGTAAGAAATTGACCAACCACAGTCGAATGTGAGAAGAATAATCAACTATGATTGGTCAATTTCTTATTCTTCTTACTGCTTACTTCCAATGTAGACGTTCCTTTAAGCGGTTATAATATTGAATGCACTATAGCGATGCATTTTAAAAGTTGCAGACTTGAGAATTCGATCGTATGAGTGTAGAAAGTAGATGTGACCAGTTGTAGATTTCATCTACGAAAATAATTAATTTAATCTTCAACACAAACATACAAGGTAATTTTATACAATTTTTATTTTTGCCGATTTTTACAATTGTCGGTTTGGTATATACCCAGACAGCACAATCTTTTAAAGACGTATCAAAGACATCCTGAAGGTTTCTAAATATTCACATACCTCCAGAATATCCCGGAGACGTTTCGAAGACTTCTAAATGTTTATATAAGTTTCCAGGACATTCCTTGAAGAAGATCTTGTACTGTCTGAGTATCGTTGCGCAAATATTTTAAAATGTAATTATATATACATGCCGGTTATAACGGTAATATTATAATGGTACATACCGAATCGATAGTTGTCGGTAAACTTGTACTGATAATATCACTGATAGGATGTTTCTTTTATTACAAACACAGTAAAAGTTACGTTTTATTTACAAAATTATTTAAGTTATCTCTTTAACTGTAATATTTCTTTAACTCTATATGTATGTGTAGTAATATTAGGGAAATAGATAATTACTCTACATGTAGAAACTTGTAACAGTATTGAACATGTAGGAATTGTTAATTTCCAATTTCTGATTTGGTATTAAAAAAAAATTCTTTTAGATGTCTCAACAAGGTAGAGATGACTATGATCCTTCTCAACCATCGACTAGTAGTGGGCATCGTAGAAGTAGAACACATAGTTCGTTCTCTGGTAGGACACCTTATTTAAGACCTGAAGAATCAGTAAGTTTATGAGATCTTTTGATATTAATTATTCTTGATAAAATATGGGATAATCTCTAATATTCTTTTATTCTCCTGGATCCTTCATTTTATATACATAAAATATTAACCAGTTCTGTTGCTTTTTACTTTCTTTTTTTTAATTTATTGTCTTATCAGTTTTTTTCTATTTCCTCTCAATATTTTTCTACTATTTAATATCCTCATCTCTATTCAGTGTTTCAACTTTTGTTTTTCTAATATTTTTATGTTATGAACTTCATTGTCTTTTCTTCCCTGGGATAACTTATATAATATCTTTTTTTTTTTCTTTTGTCTAATTAATAAAATAAATTTCTTTGTAAACAGAGAGTATATTCATCATCCAGAGGAATCGTAAAGGTTAGTATTGCATGCAATATTCAAAATATTATATTGTTTTAGTATTAAATACTGCATTTATACAAGATATTTATGCAATATCTATATTTATATAATATTTCGGAATTTTATGTGATGGTTTGTAAAGTAAAATAGTGGGGGAATTTTTTTATTCAGTTTCACCTAATCTATCTAGGTTGCTGCATACATATTTTTACAATTTATTGTATATATACATTAACATAATGTTTTTATGTTTTCCTTTTTTATACAGAGTGTAGATACTATGTATAAAAAAAGAAAACAAAAAATATTATGTTAATGTATATATGCAATAAATAACATTTTATTACAATAGAACATTAGAGAGAGCCAAGAGTATGCTACTAGTTCAAGTTCTTTATCTACATATTCAGAACAACATGCTGCTGAACAGATGGAAGGCCGATTTACAGGCAAATATTCTAATTATTTAATCTTTTCTATATTGCAGAGAACTTTTAAGAAATTATATTTATATATAATTATTTTTTAAAAAGGTGGAGGTGGGGACAGTAGCTCAGGACAACGTCGTCAACGTCCACCTTTAGAAACTATTTTTGTCACTAGACCAAATACTTTAGTAACTAAGAAAGGTCAGTACAAATTATAACTCTTAAGTAAAAGTATTATACTTACTAGAAACGAAATTCGGGATTCGTAATATGTGTTTATCATATTAAGTACAGATTATTTACAAATATTAGACAGATAATATTTCTATACCTTCTAAAAAAGAATGAATGATAAAATTAAGCACAATTGTTTTTTTGTGATTTTTAATTATTTTTATCTATTTCTAGGAACATCAGGAGAACAAATAATATTGCAAACAAATCACTTCAAGTTGATCACTGTACCTGACTGGTGTCTTTATAAGTATCGTGTAGATTTTGTACCAGAAGAAGAAAGTATTGTAGTGCGTAAAGCTTTGTTGAGACTTCATAAAGAGAAAATTGGAATGTATATTTTCGATGGAACTGTTCTGTATACGCCTGTTCGTTTACCAGAGGTAAGATCATTATAACCTATTTACTAATGTTTTATAAAAGTAAACATAGTTTTATGTCTAGACACCCTTTTTAATGAATATATACGAATTTCAGAAATTTGAATTTGTTTCAACTAAAAAACAAGATGATGTACCTGTCCAGATTGCCATACGTTTAGTTGGAGACATGTCGCGAAACGATCCACATTATATTCAAGTTTTTAATATAATAATGAGGAAATGCTTGGAACATTTAGATTTGAAATTAGTGGGCCGTAATTATTACGATGCATATAATAAAGTTAGTAGAAATTTGCTTAAATATGATTGTTGTTTATTGTATGTTTAGAGATTAATCATTTTTGTAATAATCACTTGACTATATAGGAAAATTTACATGATTATAAACTGGATTTGTGGCCAGGCTATCTTACATCTATTCGTCAATATGAACACAATATTTTATTGAGTTGCGAAATGACGCATAAAATAATACGACAGCAAACATTGTTGGACATATTAACAGATTGCTATAGACGTAGCAGTCATAACGTTAAGGTAAGATTAATATTTATTCTCGTTTATATTTTTTTTTACATTATACATTATATACATTATTATACATTATATCTAATAAAAAATATGCAATTATAGAATGAGTTCTTTAAAAGTGTTGTTGGAATTATGGTGCTTACGGATTATAATAGTCGTACCTACCGCATCGAAGATGTTGATTTTGATGCAAGTCCTTCCTCGACATTTAAAAAAAAAAATGGAGAAGTTATATCTTATCGTGATTATTACTTAACGAAATATCATATTCGAATAACAGAGATGACGCAACCGATGTTAGTGACAAGAATAAAACCAAAGGAACGAAATGCAGGCGAGGGACAACTAGTTTATCTAGTTCCTGAATTGTGTCGTGCTACAGGTACGTTATGTCAATATTTTTAAGTACACCGATTTTGTAATGGGTGTGTAAATTTTTCTACTTAGGTAATGTGTGTGACTTTTTTTTATCTTGTAGGCTTAACCGATAGCATGAGAGAGAATTTCCATTTGATGAAAGCATTATCTATGTTTACTCGTGTTAATCCTGAAGAACGGATAAGAAAATTAAAAACTTTCAATGAAAGACTTCGTAAAGAACCGAAAGTCATAGAAGAACTTCAAAATTGGAAAATGACGTTAGATCCAAATTTAGTCGAACTCAAGGGTCGTGTATTAGTTAACGAAAGACTTGTGTTTAGTAGAAATACAATTATTGATACTATGAGAGGAGATTGGTCGAGAAACATGCAAAGAGCACCTTTATTGCGTTGCAAGGAATTGAAAAATTGGATGGTAATAGGTTGCGATCGAGAAAGACATGGTATAGAGGTATAAAATAATTTTTGTTTAAATTTATCAAATTTAAGATATATGATGCGTTAGGATAAAAAATATGTTAATGTCTTTCGATGTATATTAATGATATTTAATTTTTCAGCAATTTATTAACAAATTAATTCAAGTGTCTCGAGCAATAGCATTTCCTGTTCAATATCCGCGAATACAATGGATACGTGATGATAAATCGAGCACGTATACTGAAAATCTTGAATATATTCTCAGCAAATTTACTCCTGATTTAATTTTCTGTGTAGTGACTAATAATCGATCTGATCGGTACATCGCTATTAAGAGAAAATGTTGCATAGATAGACCTGTACCGTCGCAAGTCTTTTTGCAAAAAAATTTACACTCCAGAACTGTTATGAGTATTGCTACCAAAGTGGCAATACAGATGAACTGTAAATTAGGTGGAGCCGCTTGGACTATGGAAAACCCACTGAGAGGATTGATGACTATTGGTTTTGATATATGTCATGATGTATCTACTAAGGGTAGAAAGTTTTGTAAGTATATTTGAATATTAATTTTATATATATATTTAACGAGCATGGTTCTGTTGTGTAGTTTCTAATAATTATTTGATATCTACATATTCTTTTTATAACATGCATATTCCAAATATTGATACGAATGTTTATTGTTGTTAATGTTTATGCGTGTATATACCGTTTGTGTGCGTATACTATTTATTTTATTATTAATGATTATGAGGTCTTATATGTATGTAGAAATTAATTCTTAATTACAGTGGCTATGGTAGCAACTGTTGATCAATCACTGACACAGTACTACAGTTCTATCATTCCGTTCAATAACAAGGAAGAACTTGCAGAACATGTTTGCACAGGTATAACCATGGCTGTGCAAATGTATCGTGTGAATAATAAAGCCCTACCAATGTATCTTTTAATTTATCGCGATGGTGTTAGCGAAGGGGAAGTACCTGAAGTTTACGAAAACGAAGTAGGAAACTTGAAAAAAAAACTAGAGGAGCTATATTATGGTCCAAATTTTAAGATGATCTTTATTATTGTCTCAAAAAGAATTAATACAAAATTGTTCCATAGAAGGAACAATCCACCAGTGGGTACTATCGTTGACGATGTCGTAACTAGTCCGTTCAAATATGATTTTCTTCTTGTATCACAACAAGTTAGACAGGGTACAATCTCACCAACTTCGTACAGTATAATTTACGATAATGCCGGTTTAGATACAGAAACAATACAAAGAGTGACTTTTAAATTAACTCATTTGTATTACAATTGCTCAAATACTGTGCGCGTACCAGCGACTTGCCATTATGCGCAGAAATTATCTTTTTTAGTAGGAAGATTTCTCCATCGACCTCCACATACACAGTTGGGAAATCAATTGTTCTTTTTGTGACTTTTTATTATCAAATACTTAATAATTTTTTAGATGATGCTAACAGTTATAAGTTGTATAGTTTAGGCCAATCGCTGTTTATACCAATCGAATGATAATGAATGATGATATACGTTTGTCCTTGTTTTTTTGAAAATAAATGAACATATTGTTTATTATTAACACTCGGTTGGTGCAATACAAGTTTAGAAGTTAAGAAAGCCATGTTATTTTTCTTTTCTTTAATTTTTTAGTTGCAGATATAAGTCATAAAATAAGAAAAATTCGGACTATTCATTATATACCAAATATATGTATTATTTAGATTTTATTAATATAATAGAGTAATATTTTATCACTGAGGTTATAAGACTGAAGCTTATTTCTAAAAGTTTAAATGTTTTGTAGATAATGCCAGAGTAGGCATTTAAGCTCTTAGTGTTTCATCGCGAAACTCTCGATTGATGACTTCAGAAGGGAGAAAATACACGATAAAAAATTCTTGCAAAATACATTGAAATTAAAAGATATATCCATAAAATGGTAGCTTGCGATCGATCAAGCAGATGTGTAAGATAGTCCGAACGCTTTCCTTTTGCGCTAACAATAAAAAAATTACCGTATTAAGATTAATACAGGAAGATGCAACCTATCTTTTCATCTTTCTTCATAATTTTGTCACGTTAATTTTACAGTTATTGATTGTTAGAACAAAAGGAAAGTGTTCAGACAAAGTTCAGACTATTTCACACATCTACTCGAACGATTGCAGATGTCATTTTGTGAGTATCTTTTTATTTATGCGTATTTTGCAAGAACTTTTAGCGTGTATTTTCTCGCCTTTGCTGTAAAAATCAAGATAACTGTTAAGAGCAGCGGCGAGAATACAGGAATCTCAATATACAAGTATAACCATAAGCGTTAGTTTTTTTTATTTTAGAAAGAATTTCGGTTTCAATAATACCCAGAATATAGATATCTTTCAGACAAATAAGATTTGCATATTTTTATATGCTGTGTGTGTGTGCGTGCGTGCGTGTGTGTGTGTGTATGTGTGTGATTATTAAGTCTGCGCGGGTTTATTATATGTTTATGTTGCATGAAAATTAAACAATTTACACACGTAAAACTTACAGGTATAGAAATACTTGTATATTATATTTATCCGATTTGATTAATTGAAGGACTCGATACATATGTTATTTAATTTTGGTTCGTAGAACATATTAGCTACATATCCTGAATTCCAAATACAAAATGATTTATATTTTTACGTTTGAGGTATATTTAAGTTCTTTTATTAATGACTCAAGAATTTGTGTTTATTTCAACATATACTTGCTATACGATTGTACGCAAACAACTCTACGAAAGAGTAGAAGCATGTCCTAGACCACTATCTGTGTTTATATTTATTGAATGTTATAAACTTAATAAAAAGTAAAATTTATAAAAAAATTTTCAACATTAACGTAACTTAATGAAATATTATGAATGAAGCATTGTTCTTTTGGGGTTGAAAAAACATATTTGTATAATGTATACACATATATTTCAAATATCATTAATACAATATCGATATATCATCATGAGATAAAAATCAGGAAGAAAATATCAGTAAATTTATTATTTTCTTGTTTAATTAAAGAAATTTTTAATTAAAAAACTTACTAACTATAGTATGGACATATACTATTACAGTGTTCTATTGTAATTGACACACCGCTACGGTACTAGGACATATATTTTGTTTATTATTACTATGTTAAGTCCACTTCAAACATAACGTTGTTTTTACGTATTAGAATTTATTGCGTAATTTAGCTAACAGAGTCCTAAATTTGTGGTATTTCTTGGATGCTCTTCAAGTTACACCAAAAATTATAGCACAAGATGGTTACATTTTTAGTTTCAAAAATAAAATATAAAATAAAAATACGTACCAAATATTCTCTATATATATTTGTTAGTCAGTCTGATTATATATATTTTATATATTTTCTACGAGCATTTAAGTACTTAATTACTTATAAGAATCCGAGTGATGTTATATATATAAGATTGGCATATTAAAAAATAAAAATTATATTTTTCTAATTTTAAGAATTACACATATTGTGTGTAAGTTTACAAAATATGTATGTATCTTGTGTCTATACATGATTTTTCATATTCAGCGAAAAATCGTGTGTAGGAGATAATGCGTATAATAATAAAATTGATGATACAACATGATACAATATTATAATATTTATATTTCCTTCAACACATCACCTTGATTTTGGGTTTGTTACCCTCACTTTGGTCGGTTTTGTTTCTCTTTGAGTCAACCACGCAGCCGTACGTTTCATCGTTAGTTTGTAGTGATAGCCCACAATTTGTTGCTTGTAATGATTCATTGAAGAAAAAATTCGTCCTCGTTGGTCATGTTGACCAAATTTTGGAAAGTTTGAACTCGCTACTTTTTGTTACTCATGCATTAGCGAGAAAAGAACGATTTCACGCATACCTTTAAATTGTCTGTTTAAATTGTCACGGATAATCATGTGAATCGAACCTTCACTGATCTTTAGTTTCTCAGCTAATATTCGACATGTGCAAGAGAGATACACGTAAGAAAGGAGCGAACTCGTTCGACGTTTGCGTCGGTGATATTTGTGGAGGACGCCCTTAGTCATCTTCTAATGATTCTAACTACTTTGACAGAAACGCTTATGCTACTCAACACACGTGGATGTGATAGTCTTCACCACATACTTTTTCATATCCAGCGAAAAATCACGTGATAATTTAGAAAATAATGCATATAGTAACAAAAATTGATAATGCAATATGACACATTATTATAATATCCACGTTTCCTTAAATGATTTGTGAAAGTAGAACGTAGTAGTGTGTAGAATAAATCGTCTAGAAATCAATATTTTGCATATTATATACACACACGCATATATATATACACAGGGTAATCCAGAGTAGCCGGAGGAGCCGGCACGTACGTATTCCTCATAAAAAAGTGAATCGAAAATGTCAATAGCAAAACATTGTGATGTTATTAGTTTTTAAATAGTGAGTCTTTGAAACTGTCCAATCACGGGGCGTGAAGTTCGCGCCGTCAGGTATGATACCAAACGGCCGGCCGAACACATATTATACCTG